CAGTTTAAAGATCCAAAGGGACACCATGTGCACTATCAGATTCATTTTTGCTCGTATGCAATCTAGTTCCAAAATGTTCGGAGAGAGGCTTTGAAATAAACGTATTTTCAGTTACAATCAATAAATCGATTTTATCGATTACTTGAGATGGGTAACTGTGCTTTGATATTTTGACAAAACTACTTGACTGGCGGAAGTGTAACGAAATTAGGAATAACAGATGAGGTGAGCAACTAAAGCTAATAAAGCTCCATGGATAATGAAACACACTTCCAAGAAATCGAGTACGAAATCCTTCTATATGATGGGGCAAAACAACCCAGTTTAGAATTGTCGATTAATTAAAGATAAATACTGCGCAGGAAGCATAAGCGCCTCGATTTTGTTCCTTCGTAAATGAATGCAAGGCTACTGACAGAGAAAATAGGTAAAATGATGTGTCGATGCATCATTGTACAGCTATCCCGTCCAACTCCTTGACATGCATATTGGTTCCCATCACGCTCAAAGATAAACTACTTGTTGCACAGAGTTGCAGACGCAGATAGTGCCCAAGTGTGGTCTCGACCTTGGTTCCATCGATTGAGCAAACAATGTATACACTCAAGCCTTTTCAACAAAAGCACAAATCGATTCCAACATGGGTTTAACATCAATTCCACAAAGCTGACTTATGGCCGATAATTGATTATGCAATGAGCAATGATGGCGTAGTGGGTATATGTAAACACTGGAGATAGCAATTGTTGATACATCCTACGTAGGCCTGATGTATAACAAAATATGGGAGCATAATAAGTGGTACGAGTTACTTTGGGCCACTTCGAATTAATCTGATTCCCCTTATCCCAGCGTTCAAAAGACACTAGAGACAAAGACACAGGATTTGAGCAGCTTGCACTCGGTGTAAAGGACATAAGTTAGACCAGTTAATCCCATTTTGAAAACAAGAAATATAAGTTGCGCATTCATGAGGGGCTTTTGCAAGTATAACATGGTCGGCAGCTGCGCTACGCGGGAAATCGTGCAATGACTCGGAGCGTGACCAGAGTTTATGAAATCAAACAAGAGTGAAACATCCTTGCTAATTTTATTGAAACTGAAAAAGCGAATTAATGAATTCGAACTATAACATATCTAAAGTCAACCGTACCTCTACTACACTGAATCATGAAAAAAAGGTCTCCCTTCATTGTTGGAGAATGGTGAATTTAATCCCTATAAACCAAAGACGAGACTCTAGATTATTTTATTGACAGTCATATCAACAATCCTTTTATGCAAAGACTATTTCCGACAAAAAATAGCTTAAAATATAGTCGAATAAAGATTGCGGAAAATATTCAACCCTACTTCGCCAGAAGCAGTCGCCACTAGGTTGGCGCAGTCACAAAATTTTGGATCTAGTCAATTTTACGATGCGAAATCACGCTCAAATAACCCATTTCACAAATTCAAAGAACCGCTTTAAGTAGATGGACCGACTTCATACAAGTCAACATGTCCTCATGACTGAAGATGAAAACATCCATATCAATGTATGATTTCGCGCCATAAAGCTCGAGTACGTCCTTGATTCCAGATGAGGAATGCAAAGTACTGGCAGTTGTCAAGGTAAGCGACGACTTGACAACACCTAACAACTCATTTAGCCCATCACGCAACTTGCTGATTCAGAAAAATCTCTAGGACACTAACCCACCAGGATAGTAATAAGAGTCAATAAATAAGACGTATTCTCAAAAGATACTGCATTTACGAAAAAGCCATTCAAGAACAGTCGAAACCAAGTGTGCATAGTAAAAGTATTGTAACTGGTTGCTTTGGTTAAAGTTCACTAAAGCGATGGGATAAAACGCCCCGAACTAATGACAGCGCCAGTTGTCACAAACGACCTGAAGCTTACAAATAAATCTCACCTACGTTCCTTATTTTAAGTCCAATTCGCCCAACCGCGCAACACCACCTGAAGCTTAAAGCCGGCGGCTCGGATACGAAGTGATTTAATCTAGTTGCCTTGACATACAGCAACAGGAAACTAGAAGTGTGTAGTAGAAAACTCTGCTTTTCGCTAATGGAGAATGCCATCGCTTATTTACCTCAATGCTAAATCCCGACAGCTTTTAATGTTTTGTAGGCGGGGGTAGAAAATAGTGTGCCTAAAGTTCAAATCAGTCATCAATGCCCCACATAGTTTTTACAAACTCTTATGACAAAATAGCAAGCAATGAGTTTTGTGAAAAATTATAAGTGCACTGTCATTCTTCATTTATCGGACTTCGTTACGTATTTTTTGCATGCAATAAACTATTACCAGTGCGGGCTAATCCCAATCCCTTACAGCTAGCATGACTTCATTTTACTCCAAACATCACTATAACGCCCTGAAGCTTCCCGGGAAGGCTTTAGAGTTAAGTGAAAATCCATATTTAGAGTCGAGTTTAAGACCTGGCTCATAGGCTGGCCTTCGCAATTAAAGTGAGATAACCGTAAAAGTGACCGTTATGTATGTAGATGATCTCGTCGACAAAGCATTACGGACGCAAAACACAAGAACTAGCTAGCATGCCTACTAATAACGCAGCAAATAGTGTAGGTCATGCATTTGGACTCTGTCTTAGTGCCATGGCGCCACAATAATTTACTCGTCTATTCGACAGTGGGATGGTCTTGTTATGTACAAAAATAATCTATGCAGATTCCTTTAAAAATGTACCCATTGGTTCAAGTAGTGCGGTTACCGATTGCTGAATATTCCTTCGACAATTTTAATTCTTATGCTAATTTTAACGAGTGCTAGAGACACTTTATTATTCTGATTGGGACTATGCTTAAATGACGCCACTCAAAAGGTTGGTTAATCACCAGAGCATAATCTTGTCTGATTTAAGGCACTTTAACCTTACTTATAAAGCCTATTCTCAAAATAGTAATCTCAACCACCGCGGTCAAAGCTCTTTGCTACCATTGGTTAGCCGGATGCTGTTGCTTTAGGATCACGCAATTTGCTCTTGACGTGGCTATGAGGAAGCTCAGAGGAGGTACATCCAAAGAAACCAAGAAGGACAAGTTGGAGAAGCGAAAAGACAAGGAGACCATCAACGAACAGGTGTACAAATTGGTTCTACCTACGGTAGGAGCGCTCACGCTGCTTCTCGTTGTTGTCGTGTACTTATTGTGCAAGGCTCCAGTTGCGACAAAATAGGTCTTACGTCTTTTCTCTGATTTTTTTATCATTATTTTCCACATTGAATAATGTCTGTTTGTGTATAGCCAGGTTCGTGTATAAATTGATCCTCTTTTTTCACCTACCTTCCTATAATCGAATGAATGATCAAATGGATTCCTGGTTATTTTGCTTTCAAAAAGGTTGAATAACGGCTCAGCCGCCTCTCTTTTTATCATTGTTTGCCCACGATTTCCCTGCAGCACTTGTGCGCTGTTCATAATCTATACACGCATAAATAATTTACCCCGTGCACGAACTAACTTGTCATAATGCGAGAAAGCACTAGAATTGAGGGGCTATGGTGGGTGTGGGCTGCTCGGTACTTACGTAGCAGTGAGAGATCTTTTAGTTAGTACTCTGTGCCTTGGGTGGTTCTCATATTCTGCTCAGAGGTGGTGTGCGATCAGTAACAGTACAATGCGACAATTAACGGCTCTCGGTTTTGACGAGGTTTGCATTTAATCATTAGTCGTCTGCTTTGGCGAACTTAATTAGGTTGCTATGACTGCCACAAACCGTTCCTGGAAGTAAGTGAGTCTTTATTGATGTGCAGTCCTATTTCGGTGTTGGTCATCATTTGTTCCCCTGCAATTACAATGTGTTGTAGGTGGACTCTCAAGGCTCTGAGGTGCATAGGAGACCTTGATTGGTGTAGCCGCCGGCGAGTTTTGTTGTGCTTTATGTAGTGGAGAGCATCTTGGATACGTGCGCCATCGCTGTCAAAAGTTTAAGGCACTAGCGCCTCCTGAAGCAGCACATATTAGTGGCGACATTTATTAACACCTGGCAGCGAGTTAGTGCTAATTCTAAGTTGTCACTTCAATCTTGAAACAGTGGGTATGAGATCAAAGAGGGATCCGAGGGGGTCGTTGATTTGAACTTGCAGATCAAAGTAACCGAGCGAACGAAAGGGGTAGGTAAGTGTTACAATGCTATTCGGTTTCGCCTATTGCCATGTTTTGAACTCGTGGAAAAATGGGTGGTTAACTGTGAACTCTGGAGCCTGCCGGGTTGTTTAATCCGATTGATTTAGTCACATATCTAGAACGAATACATTCTAGACGATGCGTTTATTGGAACATGGTTTGGTAAAAGCAAAACAACTATTTAGGAAGGCTACTGCATTCGAGATTGCTCTCTTCAATGATGGAATGAGTATTATGTAAAATCTACATTACTGTCTTATGGTGGTACCAACTTAAGCTATTGGTCCAATGAATTACGAAGTAGGTTCGTATCGCGATGGCAAAGTGTGCACCTCCGGACGTTTACTTAAGTGCTTTGGGAGCCTCAG